TAGTTGAGCACTGGTGGGTAGTAGAAGTATTAGGTCTATAATTTGAGGTGGGATCATGTTACGCACGGCGGCACGGGTAGTGCTCTTCTTGAGCGGCGCACGTGCTGACGTGCCGTTGGTGGAGCCCAGGAGACACGTTAAGCTGTGCGATGCTGCCACGCGACAGAAGCAGCCTCTCGCGGGTGCGTGGTACGTGTCGGCATCCGCCTTGTGCTTCAGCGGGATCGGCCGGGATGCCCAGCCTGTCCTCGGCGATTACACACACCTTGTGCTCCAGGCGTGTGCACACACCGTTTTGGTTGGTCGGGCGGAAGTGGTACCGATCGGTACGGTTGGCCCGCCGGGCCGGACTTGCTAGTACAGTACGTGTGGACTCGGCGGTCAGGTCAGCGGCCTCAACCTGATACGGCGGCCACCGAAACCATACGCGTACCGGTACCACTGGGCTGCTGGGATGCCTTTTTATTGGCGCGCCTGCACGCGGCCTCGCCCTCCCTTCCGGGGAAGGGAGGCAGTTGGACTTGGACCAGCCAGCTATCCACCCCCTTCGCGCCGAGCAGCGAGAGAGAGGGGGGAGGGAGAGATGGCGCGCGTCTCCAATGCCAAGAAGCGGCAGGGCGCCAAGCCCGCCGCCTCCGCGGGCCTCAGCGGCGGCACCAACACCGGCACCGGCACCGCCGCCACCAAGAGGAAGGCCGAGGACGACCGCTCCGTGCGCGTCTACGCCGACGGCATCTTCGATCTCTTCCACTTCGGCCACGCCCGCGCCCTCGAGCAGGCCAAGATGCTGTACGCTCCCTTCTCTCTCCTCCTCCTCCTCCTCCTCCCTTTCTTCATCGGCAGATCGATCGCCCCCAATGGCACAGCGATCGGTGTCTACATAGTAGTAGATCCATCCATACCGATGCCTCGGGGACTCGGATCAGATTAGATCTGGACGCCGCCGCCGCGGTGCGCTTGCCGCTCCCTTTCTCCTGTTTTTTCTCCTGCTGCTCGCCATGCGCGTGCCCGATAAACCCACGCCGCCGCCCCGCCGGAGTGGACATCTCAATTCTCAACCTCCTCCATCACCTCACCACCTGGCTGGATCTGGATTCCAATTCTGGGCGCACTTGATTCTATGCGTGCCATCCACTCCTACGCGTTTCACTTGATTAATTTCGGTAACGCCCGCCTGCATGTATTTTCTAGTGCTAATCCTGACGTGTTGTTTTGCGACACCTCGCTCGCAGGTTCCCCAACACCTATCTCCTCGTCGGATGCTGCAACGACGAGCTAACCAACCGCTACAAGGGCAAGACCGTCATGACCCAGGAAGAGCGATACGAGTCCCTGCGACACTGCAAGTTAGTAAATATACACTACACCCTTTTACAATACAATTACAGTGCTAGCTAATTCAGATTCAGGATAACAAACCTCTCATTTCCTCGCTTATTATTATTCATTATTATGATGGACAGTCTAGTAGGAGTATTACCATGTTCTCTGCAAACGGGTCATTCCTACCTAGCATGCCCAATTTGTTAGTAGGGACCTCCTTGTGTTGTGTCGTGTGATGTTGTGTGCGCGCGCACGCATTTGTGAGCATTCTGTATTCATCAAATCGTGCCTGCTTTGCTGCCAAAATTGACCAAGATGCATCCTGTTCTACTATCCATATGTCAAGATCTAGTTGTATTTTCCCTTTTTTGCGCCTGAGGCATTTTTTGCTTCACGACTCAGAGGAGACCTCTCCTTTTGCAGCCTAGGTTTCTCATTCTTTTCATATCCTCTAAATTGAGGATACTGTATAATTACGTGCTGTGAATGGAGGTTGACCAAATTATGCTCTCAGCTGGAGCTACTCAATTCTTTTTCATGCTAACATATACCTTCGCTATTTAGTTATTTCAGCCTCTATTCAGCAGACTGGACTGCCAGAGTATCTGCATATGCTAGTTCTGCTCATGCTTTTTTGCGTTGTTTGTTTTGAGTTCGTTTAGTCTTTTGTAATGACTTATATGTTACCATGAAAAAAAACATTTGGCCTTAAAAAAGAGGGGTTTGTATTGGCCATAACAAAAACGAAAACCCACTTTATGTTACCATGAAAAAAACATTTGACCTTAAAAAAGAGGGGTTTGTATTGGCCATAATAACAAAAACGAAAATCCCACCCAAAGTGCTGATTTTAAACATTCATGTTTTATATTTTATTAAATTAAATATAGCCACTCATGTATTTGTCTGCTGACTTCTGCTTTAGGTGGGTCGATGAGGTCATTCCTGATGCACCGTGGGTTCTCACACAGGAGTTTATTGATAAGCATCAGATTGACTATGTTGCTCATGATGCGCTGCCGTACGTGTGACCTGCACAACACCTATTTCAGATGTTCCCTTTTCTTCCTAGTCTGCTCAACTAACTACAATATCTTTCTTTGTAACTGCAGTTACGCTGATACTAGCGGAGCAGCAAATGATGTCTATGAATTTGTAAGTCTTCTTTCGTATAGCTAAGGTTAAAAACATCTTCTGTATGCTTTCCACGCTGAAAGTATTGTTGGGCTATATGTTAGGTTAAAAAGATTGGAAAATTCAAGGAAACAAAAAGGACAGATGGGGTTTCTACTTCAGATCTCATAATGAGGATCTTGAAGGACTATAATCAGTATGTCATGAGGAATTTAGCACGGGGCTACTCGAGGAAGGATCTTGGTGTGAGCTATGTCAAGGTTAGACACTTCCCTGATGGCACATAATGAAGGGATATAATATAATTAGTTTTTGTGGAATAACATATCGTCTTCTTATTATTTCCATTAGGAGAAACAATTGCAAGTTAATATGAAGATCAATAAACTGCGGGAGACTGTGAAGGCGCATCAGGAAAAGGTAACTGTTGATTTGAGATTCATCACTTGATCTTTACTTGTCGAGTAACTAGACATACTACTTTCCATCGCATGGAAGACTAAAGTAATCAGTTTTACTTATATCTCGCAGTTGCAAACAGTGGCAAAGACTGCTGGTTTGAATCATGAAGAATGGCTTGCTAATGCGGATCGATGGGTTGCTGGTTTCCTGGAGAAGTTTGAGCAACACTGCCACAACATGGTATATTTTTTTAATAAGAATGTAACATTGTGAAGTGAAGGGCGGGCCTGGTGCAAGCGGTAGTCTTACCGCCTGTGACCGGAAGGTCCCGGGTTCGAGTCGCGGTCTCCTCGCATTGCACAGGCGAGGGTAAGGCTTGTCACTAACACCCTTCCCCAGACCCCACACAGAGCAGGAGCACTCTGTACTGGGTACGCCCTTTTAATGTAACATTGTGAAGTGTTGCTAAATGTAATTTTAAATTAGTTAGATAAGTAACAGACGATATCAGAATTCAATGTCCATAATATTCAAGGTCAATCTGATACCTTGTAATTACTGTTTTCAGGAAACTGCCATCAAGGATCGGATACAAGAGAAGCTCGGGAGACAGTTGAGCAAAGGAATAATAGCTGGTCTTGTGCAGGAACCGGTGACAGCCTAAAACAGGTGATGCTGTCAGTGAAACGCACGGATGCTTACCAGATCATCCTCCCGATGTGCTTTTGGTGTGATCAAGATCAAATGGCATGCGATGCTTGTAAGAGTGCAACGCAGTTGCTGAAGCGTTTTAGTTTTGTGGTGCATGTGAAGTCTTCCCGTATACAAATGTCTATAGGAGAGGCGTTTGGTGTTTTTGGGCATCGTGGGTGTGTTTCTTTGTATCTAACGGGTTAGATTAACCTTTTCTTATCGAGACTGATGTTCTTTCGTGGCTATATATCATATTCCATCCATAATAATATGGTAAAAGGCACAATAGTTTGAAGAAATTCTAGACTTGGTACCTTAATAATCTGTATATATACGAATGCATGATATCATATAAATCATGAACATCATTTGAATGTGTAATGATATCTGTCAACTCACCATTTAACTTGATTTTATAAGAAACGGTGGAGAGACAACTCATGATCAAATGTACCCAACGATCATTAGAGCCCAATTTCAGCATAATGCTTGTCAGGAAATTCCATCCACCCTATCATGGACTTTGCTCATATCTAGTTTGGGGGAACAAACCTTTTCGATCCATTCCTTTTGTTCTGCAGATTGTGAGTTAACTCATAAGCTATTAATATATTATCAGTCTTCCAGGGACAAATGCACTTTGGTTCTCTGAAATTATCTCAGGTAGAATAGATTTCAGCCGGTTTAAAAGTACCTTTGCCGCCACTTTGTAGATAACGTTGCTGATCGGGCGTAGGTCTTTTAGTTTATCCGGATTCTGAACTTTTGGGATTAGAACCACAATAGTTTCATTCCATTTACTCGACAGCATTCAAGAACTGCAAAAGTTGATGTTGGTCGATACACAACCTTGAATCAGTGTTTTGTTTTATTTTGTTTTTTGCGGATTGATTCGGTGAACTTGTTTGTAACTAACGACTTGTAGCTTTGTGCGAGTGGCCCGGCCCGCAGGGCAGAGCGCTACTGGGCCTGGCTCCATTTAGAAGGCTTGTGGCCCAGGGCCCGCAACGCAACAGGCAAGGGGAACGGCCGGACGGGTGGTGGGGCAGCCTAGTCGGAGGTGGCGGAACCACCGGAAGCCGGTGATGACGACCGGCGTCGCGGCGGTTAGCTATCCCAGTAGCCGCTTGGTTGGTACTCCGCTCCTGCCGTCGCTTTCCTTCGAAGAAGAGGACGAGATCAGGTGAGGTGAGGGTCTCGCAAGTCGCAACCCGACGATCTCAATCCCAACCCCATCCTCGCTCACCGCCATGCCGATAATTTCTAGCCACAATTCCATCGCTCGCTCGTTCAGTAGCTCCCATCCCGACGAATCGAATCTCCGTCGCCACCTTGCCCAGCCTCCGTCTGCTCCGGATGTGGGAGGAGCCAGACATCAGTCAGCAAGAGGGAAGCCCAAACTCTGCCGCCGCTTCCTCTGCACTCCGCGAACAACGATTCCCGACTCCATGGCCGCGACCGCCATGATTAGGATTACTACTTTACGTTGCCGCCACGACCCGCTCTCCTCCCTTCCCCGCACCACGTCAGTCGCCCGCTCCTGTACGCTTCCTCCTCGATGCCGCCGATGCAGACTGCTCACTCCCCATTCTTCTTGCTGCTCCCCTTCCTCCTCCGTCTCTCCGCGCCGGGTCCGGGTCCGCCCAACAGCAGCATTGAAGCGCATCCCTGGCAGCAACACCAGCTTCATGGGTCCAGCCGACAATGGCGCCACCACGCTTCAGCGATCGTCATCGTCCCACCTTCGTCGCAGCCTGATCATCCCCAACTACACTGCTGGCACCGGAGACGCCAGTGCTGCTTCCTCAGGACTGCTGCCCGCCGTGAGAAGACACTTTTCCTTTATATTAAAATGCTCTTATTAAAATTCATATCTTTTCCTCTCTTCTGATGCGTGTATACAGATTCTTGGGGTGGCGCATCTGCTTGTGTCGCTGGGCATTGTGTTCGCCACCGATAAATTCCTCAAACAGGCATTCGTCGCCGCATCCATCAAGTTCCCAAGCGCCCTCTTCGGCATGTTCTGTGTCTTCTCCGTGCTAGTAGTCTTCGACACATTCGTGCCTGCTCTCGCGAAGGCGTTCATGGACTTCTTTGCGCCTGCCACACTATTCATCCAGAGGTGGCTACCCTTGTTCTACGTCCCGACACTAGTCGTGCTGCCGCTCGCCGTCAGGGATGTCCCAGCGGCTTCAGGACTCAAGATTTTTGCAATCACTTGTATGTATTATTCTCGATCACATTTTTTCTGTCATTGTTTCTCTTCACAGCTATTTTGATTTGTTTCTATCTATCTAATAACATGATGGAACGACTTAAACTTGAATTGTGACACTATGACTCACACTTCCGAAACGAACCAGTTCATTTGCAAAAGGTAGATGAGGTTCTCCTCATTATGCAGACCAGCAGAACTACAACCCGAAAGATGCACCCTGCTCTTAGATATTGCAGCACGGTACCAGTAACAGTAAGCATTCCCTGCACTGCATGTCATGTTGCAGTACTGTATGATTTCAGGCTCCAGTTTAGTAACCTGCAGCCCCAGTAAACAAAATTTTGAAAATTGTGAGGTACCTTACCAATCCTTTTCATTGCTATATATATGCTGTCAGGATCTTCTGTGTTATGTTTAGCTACTTATGAGATATGATTGCACATGAAACAAATGCTACAGAAGGAATTAGATTCCATTGGGTCCGGGCTCCTTCCCGGCTTCGGCTCCGGCTCCTCCGGAGGAGCCCTCCTAAACGTTTTGGAGGAGGAGCCGTTTTTCAGTGAAAAATAGAGAAGCCCCTCAGGAGCAGCCCTGCCAAACACCCCTTAGTTTTTCCTTGCAGTCCCATTTTTCCTTTCAAAACATTAAATTGGAACAGCTACTTTTATACTGTTTTGATTTTGCCTGCTTTTTCAGTTGGTGGCTGGTTTGCTACCCTCGTGGTTGCAGGATATACAGTGTTAGCTGTGAGAAAACTTGTGAAGACAGAGCTTATTACAGACACAGAGCCCATGAGCAAGCCGTCACCATTTTCTACATTGGAAATCTGGGCATGGTCTGCTATATTCGTTACATCATTTGGTGTTGCGTATTTCAATCCCACGGCACTTGGTACCACAGCAATAACATGCCTTCCTTTCCTGCTTGCTGCTAATGTGCTGGGATACATGGTTGGTTCTGGGTAATATGCTTATATAAACTCGATCAATAGGATCCAAAGTATGCAAACAGTTTATTCAATTTTGTCTGACGATCTGGGTATTTTCAGGTTACCAGCTGGTGTCAAGAAAGTGTTACATCCAATCATCTCCTGCGCACTTTCTGCAGATTTGGCGGCAGTAGCGTATGGGTACCTCTCCGGGTCTGGACTTGATGCTGTGCTAGGTTCATAAGCTATAAACCCTAATATATAGTCCTACAATTATATCACAAAATTTTTTAGTTTCAGAAGAGTTGCCTTCAAAGCATTAGTGCTGGAGTAACATAGAACATACACATGATATCACTGTGCTCTCAGAAAAAAGTGGTTGTCCAGGTGATTATCTCACAAAGGCGCCCTCTAATCCTGGAGCCGGTGACGTACTAATGGGTTTCCTCGGGTCTGTGATCATATCGTTTGCATTCTCAATGTTCAAACAGAGAAAGGTACTATTGCACATGGTTATCTTGTGACATCATTTCGATTAAGCTCTGTTCTGCTGCAAATGCCTTTTATCTGATCGTCAACTTGTCCATGCTCCTGAGCACTTATTTCAGCTTGTACAGAGGCACGCAGCAGAGATTTTCACATCAATTGCCATTGCATCGACATTCTCTCTGTACTCAACTGCTGTCATAGGGCGCCTGATTGGGCTAGAGCCATCATTAACCATATCCATATTGCCAAGGTGTATAACTGTGGCGCTGGCTTTGAGCATAGTATCTTTCTTTGAAGGTAAATCTTGGCAGAACATCCTCCTGTGAATTTGATTGTGTTCCTATAGTAGAGATGAGGAGAGTGGGTTATCATGATATCCCTAGCTTGTATTGACAGGCAAGTTAACCATAGGTCAATTACTTGACCTAAACATGTAGTGATTGACTTAATCCTTAGTGTTAAATCTTCCCTCTATGTGTCTTTGCAGTAATTTACTGAGGGGCACTGATGGTTCATGGTTTCTTGTTGTTCAGGTGTAAACTCTACACTAAGTGCTGCCGTGGTTGTCCTTACCGGGCTCATTGGAGCGAATTTTGTGCAAGCAGCTATGGATAAACTTGGTCTGAACGACCCCATCGCCAGAGGAATAGGGACAGCTTCCAGGTAATTTGCTGGATATAATGTCGTTCTGCATCATTTCGTAATTCTTCATTTGTGAGCATGATTATGCCCTGTCTGAAAGTAATCTTGCGTGGTTGATGGTGTAGTGCTCATGGACTGGGGACAGCAGCACTATCAGCCAAGGAACCTGAAGCACTCCCGTTCTGCGCCATTGCTTATGGTCTCACGGGAATTTTTGGCTCGCTGATTTGCTCGGTTCCAGCAGTGAGGCAAAGCTTGGTATTCATAGCTGGTTAAGAGCAGCTCCTGATGATCTGAATTTGAGGATTTGATTCTTTAGATAAAAGAAGCCGTTTCCTGTGTAAAAGAAGAAGTGTTCAGAAGATGGGGAAGCAACGCCCCCACATTTTGGGTTAGGATCTATTCTGTATAGAGGCTTGAAAAAAGGTGAATAATTCCGTAATCAGGATGTATAAAATAATACATTATTTTTTGTGTCAAAATACTACTACTAGAACAAGAAGGATCCATTGTTTGTTTGATAGTTTGTGATATCATCTGTCTCGCTTTCCAGAAACGATCATCCGTATCGGCGTGTTCGGCTGCTCTAATAAGCCGGCTTATCAGTTATGGTACCGTATTTTTCTCTTTCAATAAATCAGCTGTATAAATCAGCACAAGCGACTTATAGACCAGCCGAACACGCCTAGCATGTTTGATAAATTCGACATCTTTTTGAGACAAATTACGGTATGTAGTTGGATAAAAATTAATCTAGATCTAGTTGCGAGCAAGCACACTGACGGATCGCTCGCTGGAGATGGAAAGACGAGGTTGACACTTGCAGTCACATGGGCCACCGCTGGTGTCGTGTAGGTAACAAGTGGTCAGCACCAGCGTCCCTACTCACTGCAGTAGCAATCTACCCCCAAATCCAGGGGCGGGCCCACCAGTATTCAAAGATAATCAGTTGAATACCTAAATTTTTAGGGCAAAAAATTCATATATATATGGAAATCATTTCCTACTCTCAGGGAGTATCTCTAGATTTATGGCGTATATGGCCCGACGAAATGTACGTAGATGGAGTATATCATCATACTAGACCATCTAGGGTACTATATATGACAAGTATGTATATATACTTAGAGTATATGGTTATACTTATTTTATATGTTACTATCATAGTATTATATAATATATGAAAAAATATGTGATATATATATATATATATATATATATATATATATATATATATATATATATATATGGGTGGGTGGGGGGGGAAAAATACAGCAAAACTGGACATCCTGAGCAGCAAACAGCCCAAAAACGACTCCTTTTCCACCCCACTCGAAGGCCCATCAAGATCCAATGGCCCAAAATCTCCCTCACGGAAACTTACAAGCATGGCTGCCTTCCAAGTGTAACGCCAAGCCTTTAAAGGACCCTTTTTTTTACAACATAAACGACCATTTGTGGAGACAACAATATACCATCATATCATTTGAGAAACATCAATATACCATCATAGTTGGTGGATAAAAAAAGAATTTGTAAATTATCTCATACAATAAAATTTCCTCGTGAACCATAGACCAATATCTTGACCATTTAGATTTTCAATCTTGATCATTTTTTGGGTCAAGGCTGGAAAAGAGGTACAACCAAATTTGAAATATCAGCTCATAAGAATTGTGGCTCTATAAACTCTAGTACAAATTTTAAAAAGTGAAGCAAGCAGCACAAATATGACTCGATTGTTCGTTTTGGTTTAACTGCTGCAACCTGCTTTTGCTGTCAAAAAGATGACCACTAACCAAATGGGTATTTATAGATTCTAAAGCAGCTTTCACGAATGCCGCTGCGTTCTTACAATGTATTTTCCATAGCAGGTGACACCCTGCCTCCACAGCAGTGGAGTTTAATGTTTCATGAAGACTACCAATGTTGTCATCAACTCAGCGTCAAGTCATATTGTTTTGTTTCTTTTCTTCCCTATCCCGAGCCACTCTTCAACGTGGTAAGGAGTTTAATAGATCTGATGCACATAAGTACCTACTATAAGTGCCATATGCGGTGACACAAAAGACAGGAGATAAAGGTCCTAAAGTGAACAGTAAGTGTATCTCCAAGAGTCCTTCTAAAGCTCACCCTCTAAATCATCACTTGGAGAGTCATTTGCATAAATGTCGTTTTCTATATCTTTTCGCTCTCCAACAGTTTTTCTATATCTTGTCTGCATTCTAGAGCGTCATTCTCGTTTTCTATCTTTGGCTAGCAAGAAATTTGAAATAGAATATGGCTATATTTGGATAACCAAATAAAGAAGTTGTTGGAGCATTTTTTTCATCAAAATCTCTATTCCTAACAATTAGAAAGGATATAGAGAATCTCTTGGAGTTGCTCTAAGGATACCACAAATATCATTAATAATAGGATAGTTGATGCTTTGATTAGTGAGAGAGCGATAGTTATGTTGACGGGAGACATCATTATGTGAACGGTGTATTCTATACTAATCTCACTTTCTATTTACATGAATACGAATGCAATATATTAAAAAATTAAGTTTTTTTCCAAAAAGATAATTTTCATGTATACCTTAATATTTAAGATCAGTTAACAAATAAATAGCCTCTAGATTTTAGGGTGTTGCAAACATTTTCTTTAGACCAATAATTTCACCGTTGTTCCAATCAAATAACTTACATCTTTCCCCCAACTTAGTAGCTTTCCCACATTCCATAATCAAACCAAACACACCTTCAAAATCTCTAATACCATGAATGGTTTCCGTGGCTTTATATGTCCCATGGAACAACAAAAGGGGATGTTGGTCAAAGCACAACCTTGGATCGGTGTTTTTTAGACTGATCGAATCGGTGAAACTTGCTAGTAATGAACGGGGCACATGCACCGTTTGTGCTAGTGGCCTGGCCTGCAAGGTTGAGCCCTACAGGGCTTGGCTTTCATCTGAGAGGGCCTATGGCCTGGGGCCCGTAACCGCAACAGGTAAGGGGACTTGTCAGACGAGTGTTGGGGTAGCCTAATCGGAGGGGGCAGAACCGCTGGAAACCAGTGATGGCAGCCGGGGGCGCAACACGATTAGGGCGTCCCCAATGCACCACCATCATAGAGTGCTGCCTCAGAGTTCACGTCTGTATAAGTTCTCCATGTCATTGCAAACTATAGCCCCGCAGGGTGACAGAGCGTCTTGTAGAGGGAACAAAGTTTCAGCTAACAAAAGCTGTGGGGCGGTGACGGAGACCGCGTGGTGGCCTTGTGTGTAGCCTCTGCACATCATCTTCCCATGCATCTGTCAAAAAGTAACGCGGGAGAGGGAGAAAAGCAAGTGGACCATGTCTGGGTCTTCAACAGGAGGTGGAGTGGTCTGCATTGAGAGCCTAGGAGTTCTAGGCCTTACATGTCTAGCTATACCGCTACTTTAGACTCAAGCCAACACGCTTGCTAGCCTGCGTTGGGTCTGCTCTTAGCTATTTCAATAACGTCTTAGTTGGTACTAGGCTCGCAGGCGTGCGGGTTTTTACGAGAACCTGCATATCCGCCCCCACAAAATCATATTTTATGGTTTTTTTTTTTGAGAAAATGTTTTGCGGTAGATGCAGACCAGCTCCAACTTGTCTGTGGCATCATGTGAGCTGTTCCGCGAAGCCCATTGGACGAGAGCGCAAGCCCACAATCGTCCCGCAAGAACCTGCAACGATACGGTTGTGACCTGCCTCCGCCGAATATCCAGCCACAACCCGCTCCTTGTTCAGGCCAGGCGATGTGCCGGCGGGTGTCCATCGGTTGGGAGCTCAGGGTGGTGGGCGCGGAGGGGGACGAGGAGTTCATCTTCCCCAGCGGCGACTCCATGGAGCGTAGGGTGCTGCAGGGCCCTGGGTAGCACGGCCGATGTCGCCGTCCACGCATGGCAGCCGGCGACGTCCACGAAGTTCGAGCGCGGAGCAGGAGGACGACGACGAGCACGCGCAGCTGGCCGCTGTGGTTCTGTCCGTTTCCGGCTTTCCGCCCCGGGTCGTGGACAGCCACAAACCCGACCCCGGCGGTCGCTTTCGTTCCAAGAAGAGGATGAGAGATTCAAGTGATCGATCACTCGTAGCCCAACGTTCTCAATCCCAACCCCATCCTCGCTTCCTCGCTGCCATGCCGATAATTTGTAGCCACACTTCCATCGCTCGCTCTCGTTCAGTAGCTCCCATTACATCCCGACAAATGGAGTCTCCGTCATCACCTTGCCCAGCCTCCTCCGTCTGCTCAGGATGAGGGAGGAGCGACACATCAGTCGGCAAGAGGAAGCCCAAACTCTACCGCTTCTTCCTCCTCTTCACCCCACGAACTCCACTCCATGGCCGCGACCGCCATGGTTGGGATTACTAATTTAGGCTGCCGCCACGACCCGCTCTCCTCCCTTCCCCGCGCCACGTCGGCCGGCCGCTCCTGTGCGCTTCCTCCTCGACGCCGCCGTTGCAGACTGCTCACTCCCCGTTCTTCTTGCTGCTCCCCTTCCTCCTCTGTTTCTCCGCGCCGGGTCCTCCGACCAACAGCAGCACTGAAGCGCATCCCTGCCGGCGACACCAGCTTCGTGGGTCCAGCCAACAATGACGCCACCACGCTTAACCGATCATCATCGTCTGACCTTCGCCGCCGCCTGATCGTCCCCAAGTCCACCGCTAGCACTGGACACGCCACTGCTTCCTCAGGAGTGCTGCCCGCCGTGAGAAGACGCTCTTTTCATCTTTTCCTTTATATTACTTATAATAATGCTCTTATTAAAATTCACATCTTTTCCTCTCTAGCTTCTAGAATTGAACCCGATGCGTGTATGCAGATTCTTGGGGTGGCACATCTGGTTGTGTCGCTGGGAATTATGCTCGCCGCCGACAAGTTCCTCAAAAAGGCATTCGTCGCCGCAGGCATCAAGTTCCCAAGCGCCCTCTTCGGCATGTTCTGTGTCTTCTCTGTGCTAGTCGTCTTCGACACATTCGCGCCTCCTCTCGCGAAGGCGTTCATGAACTTCTTTGAGCCTGCCACAATGTTCATCAAGAGGTGGCTACCCGTGTTCTACGTCCCGACACTGGTCGTGTTTCCGCTCGCCATCACGGAAATCCCAGCGGCTTCAGCATTCAAGATTTTTGCAATCACTTGTATGTATTATTCTCGATCACATTTTTCTTTCTGTCATTTTTTCTCTTCACAACGAATTTAATTTCAAAACATTAAATTGGAACAGCTACTTTTATATACTGTTTTGATTTTTTTTATGGAAATACTGTTTTAATTTTGCCCGCTTTTTCAGTGGGTGGCTGGTTTGCTACCCTCACAGTTGCAGGATATTCAGTGTTAGCTGTGAGAAACCTTGTGAATACAGAGCTTATTCCAGATACAGAGCCCGTGAGCAAGCCGTCGCCATTTTCTACATCGGAAATCTGGTCATGGACTGCTATATTGGTTGCATCATTTGGTGTTGCATATTTCAATCCCACGGCACTTGGTACCACCGCAAAAACATGCCTTCCTTTCCTGCTTGCTGCTAATGTGCTGGGATACATGGTTGGTTCTGGGTAAATATGCTTATATAAACTCGATCAATATGATCCAAAGTATGTAAACAGTTTGTTCAATTTTATCTGACGATCTGGGTATTTTCAGGTTACCAGCTGGTGTCAAGAAAGTGTTGCATCCAGTCATCTCCTGCGCACTTTCTGCAGATTTGGCAGCAGCAGCGTATGGGTACCTCTCCGGCTCTGGATTTGATGCTGTGCTAGGTTCATAAGCTATAAACCCTAATATATAGTCCTACAATTATATCACAATTTTTTTAGTTTCAGAAGAGTTGCCTTGAAAGCATTAGCGCTGGAGTAACATAGAACATACACATGATATATATCACTGTGCTCTCAGAAAAAGTGGTTGTCCAGGTGATTACCTCACAAAGGCGGCCTCTAATCCTGGAGCCGGTGACATACTGATGGGTTTCCTTGGGTCTGTGATCATATCATTTGCATTCTCCATATTCAAACAGAGAAAGGTACTACTGCACATGGTTATCTTGTGACATCGTTTCGGTTAAGCTCTGTTCTGCTGCAAGTGCCTTTTATCTGATCGTCGACTTGTCCATGCTCCTGAGCCCTGATTTCAGCTTGTAAAGAGGCACGCAGCAGAGATTTTCACATCAGTTGCCATTGGAGCTACATTCTCTCTGTACTCAACTGCTATCATAGGGCGCCTGGTTGGGCTAGAGCCATCGTTGACCATATCCATGTTGCCAAGGTGTATTACTCTGGCGCTGGCTTTGAGCATAGTATCTTTCTTTGAAGGTAAATCTTGGTAGTCCATCCTCCTGTGAATTTGTTTGGGTTATCATGATAAGTTCTCTAGCTTGTATTCACAGGTAATTTAACCATCAGTCGATTACTTGACCTAAACATGTAGTGATTGACTCGATTCCTAGTGTTAAATCTTCCAGCTATAGGTCTTTGCGGTAATTTGCTGACGGGCACTGATGGCTCATGGTTTCTTGTGGTTCAGGAGTAAACTCTTCAGTAACTGCTGTCGTGGTTGTCCTTACCGGGCTCCTCGGTGCGAATTTTGTGCTAGCAGCAATGGAGAAAATTGGTCTGAACGACCCCATCTCCAGAGGAATAGCGACAGCTGCCAGGTAATTTGCTCGATATATGTCGATCTGCGTCATTCAGTCATTCTTCATTTGTGAGCGTGATTAGGCCCTGACTGAATGTAATCTTTGCTTGGCTAATGGTGTAGTGCTCAAGGACTGGGAACAGCAGCACTGTCAGCCAAGGAACCTGAAGCACTCCCTTTCTGCGCCATCTCTTATAGTTTCACGGGAATTTTTGGCTCGCTGATTTGCTCGGTTCCAGCAGTCAGGCAAAGCTTGATATTCATAGCTGGTTAAGAGCAGCTCATGATGATCTGAATTTTAGGATTTAATTCTGTAGATAAAAGAAGCCACTTTCTCCGTGTAAAAGAAGTTATGTTCAGAAGACGAAGAAGCAACGCCCTACATGTTGGGTCAGGATCTATTATGTATAGGGGCTTGAAAAAAGGTGAATAATTCTGTAATCAGGATGTAACTAAAGGTCCTGTTCGTTTCTCTTATGATCCGTACTTTTTAGCTTCTTTTTCCAGCTAGAATAGTGTTTTTCTCTCACAACAAATCAACCGGAACAGTGTATTTGCTTGTTTTTTCAGCGAAGCGAACGGGGCCAAAATACTACAATTTTTATGACAAAATACTACTACTAGAGCAAGACGGATCCATTATTTGTTTGATAGTTTGTGATATCGTCTTTCTCCCTTCTCAGAAACAAGAGATAAAGTAGTATGTTTGATAAAAATCAACATTTTTCAGAGACAAATTACGGTATGCAGTTGGATAAAAATTATTCTAACTTTAGTTGCAGAGCAAGCACACTTAGCTAGTGGACGGATGACTCGCTGGAGATGAGGTTGACACTTGACAGTCACACGGGGCCACCGCGGGTGTAGTGTGTAGTATAGGTACTAACAAATCCAGCAGACATGGGTCAAGTGGTTGTGGATGATGTTTACAAAGCATGTGTTGTGACCATTTAGGAGGGCTTAGGTGATGTGTTAGGGTTGTGCAAGCTAGAGGTTGAGTTCCTAATCAAGAGATAAAAGTAGTGACTAGGGATTGAATCAACTTTGAGAAAAAGAAGAAAAATCATGAATCACCAAGATTATGATTAGGCCTTGCTCCTTCTTGCTTCCAAGTGAGGGAGAGGATTTGACCAAAATGAAGAATCTCTTGCACAACCCATACAAATTCAATTAGAGATGAGATTTGATTCCATGAGATGATTGAGCAAGAAAGGGACTTGAGCTTGCACTTGAGATGGTGGAGCATCTAGTGACCTTCTTCTTCCTTCCATGCATGAAGAAATCAAGAGTTAGGGTTTGAAGGGAGATTCTAAGGAGAATGAAAAGGGGATTTCTTGAGCTCACCCAAGAATGGAGATGAGATGATCTTCTCCTTGAGATGCTGAAGTTTGGTTTCATCCTTGATATTCTTTTTCTTCTTTTCTTTCTCTTATTTGTCTCCTTATTCTCACTTATAGAGAGAGAGCATGCGTGAGTGAGTGAATGAATGGGAGGGTGAGTGGAGGAGGGCTGGATCACTAGATGGGAATCTTCGTTCACTTCAAGCTGATAGGTGGGTCCAAGGCAAGGGATAGATAGACAACCCATCCAAACTGATTCTGACGACTAAGTGTTCAGGATGGTCTGACAGGACACTAATTTTGGGATTTTGGATTTGAAGGAAGGAGGTTGATGTTGGGACCATGATCTTCACATAGAGAGTTGGTAGGAAACTTTGGAGAGTTAGGGAGGTGCTTCTTGGGTGATACCTTGGAGAATCTCATTGAGTCAACTACAGAGTTGACCAAGATTGATTTTGGTTGGCTTAGGCTGATTGAAGGAGATCATGAGAGTCGATAAGCGAATTTGGTGTCGTTGTCCTGTAGAAAGTGGATCAAAGGCTTGGGTCAGAATTTAGTGAGGGTTTTGGTAAGGGTCTTGGGCTTCGAGGGGCGTTTCTTAAGAAGTTTAAGTTGGAACAACCGTTGAGTCATGAATCATGACAGAGCTGGTCCTCTACTCCCGCCTCGCCCCGTCGTCTCCGCGTGCTCCGCGCACCTGGACCTCCTCCAACGCTACATGTCCTACATGTGGCTTCGCACCCTGCCTTGACGACACCCTCTCCCTCAACATGGCCCTTCTCCTCCGTGGATGCCATCCGCTCCCGCACCGCAGGTGCTTCTTCCCCACCTGCATCCAAACTCTTGCCTACCAATCCCTTCTCCTTGCTTCTTAACGCCGTCATCCGATGGCCCAAGGAGGGGAACTGCAAATCATTCTCCTGCTTGCCGCCATCGCTGGGCTTTCGACGTGGCACGCAAGAATCCTCCGCACGCGCGGGGCCCTTAGACCTGACGATGCCGCAACTGCTGCGGCTAGCCTCGCTGAGTTAGACGTGGCCCATTTGGTTTGGGCTCGACATCAGCGGTGGCAAGGGCACGCTGGCGGTGCGGCTCAAGATGCTCGTCAACACCACAGTGTTGACGAACACCTTGAACCTGGCGCAGCCTACTTGGAGGCGACGACGGCGCAAGGTGGTGCCATTGCATGTGCTGCTGGAGCAGCGGTTCCCGGTAGGGGACAGGACCACGGACGTGGTGCGGGCAAGGCACGCCGTGAACCGTTGGTTCCTAGATGTGGTGCTGGAGTTCCTGTGGTATGATGCCGACAGTGTGTTGTGCCTGGGCGGGCTGCTCTAGGTGGACCACTTTTGGTGCCAGAGGAGCGACCTGGAGGGCGTCTACGTCGTCATGCTGTGAAAGTTCGGCTACAAGACCATCAAGTGGGTCATCACCAATATGAGCGTCGCCAGCGGCAACAACGGTGGCATGGACGAGGTCTATCTCACCGTTTATTTGGGGGAAATGACACGAGAATTCATGCATCATCGAGTATCTTCTTTGAAGTAATCCAATGCAAGTGCCCTGCAAACTCGCAGCATTCAGCTTATGTTTCCTACTCCTAGATTTCTATCGCAATGCATATGCGTGCAACAATGTAAGCAGTAGAACCGAGGGCGCCCCCAGCGATTTTTTTTATTGTTAACCTTTTTCTAAAACAAATTCCAAATCTAACAGGACTGCTTTTTTATTTTCAAATCTAACACTTTTGACCGCGCCAAAATCCGTGGGGCGGCCAAAACACGCTGTCGCGCCACATGCATCGGCGCGGCACGATCTACCACGTCGGACAGCGATTTTCACGTGGAAATCCTTGCCGCGCCACTGCCGTTGGCGCGGCAGCACTGTAGCGCTGCTCCATCCAGACTGGCGCGGCAAAGCGTAACCTTAGAAAAATTGTATCTTTTTATATTATCTCGGATGAAGATGATCTTTATATGAAATTATAACTCTCGACGAGATCTAAAACTTTTTAGTTTTGAGTTTTTTCATTTGAGTTCGTAAGATGCTCAAAAAAATTAAACAAAGTCTCAGCAGTATATTAATCGCGTACAAGCGCTTGTCGTCTTGGAAAAATCATATCGTTCTTATATGGTTTTAAATGGAGATACTTTCTATATGAAACTTGTAGCCCTAGATGGGATCTACAAATTTGTAATTTTGAGTTTTTACATTTGAGATTATTAAGATGCTCAAGAAAAATAATATAAAGTTTCAGCATCATATTAATCGCGTACATACACTTGTCGTCTTGGAAAAATCATGTCTTTCTTATATGGTGTCAAATGGAGATATTTTCTATATGAAAGTTATAACTCTCGGTGGAAATTACAAATTTATAGTTTTGTATTTTTACATTTGAGATCATTAAGATGCTTAAAAAATAATAATATAAAGTTTCAGCATCGTATTAATCGCATACAAGCGCTTGTCGTATTGGAAAAATCATATATTTCTTATATGGTGTCTAATTAAGATACTTTCTATATGAAAGTTATAGCCCTCGATAGAGTCTACAAATTTATTGTTTTGAGTTTTGCATTTGAGGTCGTTATCTTCGGTGCGCGATGTGACTTATTACTAATAGAAAGTCGACTCTGGAATTCAAGTACTACAAAAAAAACAGATGAAGATGATTGATTTGTTAGGCTGATGGTAGATAGTTTAGTCACACACTATTACTATCTCACTACACTTTCGTCAACGCTTCACATAAAAGTTTTATGCAAACATAGTGAAAAAAAGTTACGCAACGATAGACATTGTTAATTGTAAAATTGGCGAGATCTAATGAACTTAAAAATTAAACTATGCCCATAACATATTTCTTTTATCGCTTAGTGTAACCGTATTCTCTCAGTCATATTTTCTTGTACCTAAAAAAGGTACTTTCCTCTTAAACTAATGGTCAAGCACCGTGTGTCACGCAGCAGAAAAGATTTTTATGAGGTGTTAAGCTCAAGTATATAATTAATATACTGCTAAAACTTTATATTATTGTTTAGCATCTTAATGACCTTAAATAAAAAAAATCAAACTATAAAGTTGTAGATCTTGTGAACTAGACCCAACTCTGCCCTAGAAAACTCAATAATTTATTTGATCTAAATTTCTTTGGGTAGAATTTGAATTGTAAACTCGAGCTTGTCATGTACCGCGGCGTGGGAATTTAACACTTGTTCAAGTTTGTTTTAAACATGACTAGTCACGTCGCGAGCTTAAGATAACGACCTCAAATGAAAAAACTTAAAACTATATATAAAGTTGTAGATCTCATCAAAAACTACAACTTTTATGTAGAAAGTATCTCCATTTGACACCATAGAAGAAAGATATGATTTTTCAAGACGACAGCGTTTGTACGCGATTAATATACTGCTAAAACTTTGTTTATTTTTTTGAGCATCTTAACGACCTCAAATGAAAAACCTCAAAACTAGAAAGTTGTAGATCTCATTGAGAGCTATAATCTTCATCCGAGATCGTATGAAAAAAAATATAATTTTTCTAAGGTTGCACCTTGCCACGCCAGTCTGGATGGCGCGGCGCTACAGTGCTGTCGCGCCAACGGTAGTGGCGCTCCAAGGATTTCCACGTGGAAATCGCTGTCTGACGTGGCAGATTGTGCCGCGCCGATGCATGTGGAGCGGCAGCGTGTTTTGGTCGCACCATGGACTTTGGCGCGGTCAAAAGTGTTAGGTTTGAAAATAAAAAAAAAGTAACGGCGTTGGATTTGGAATTTGTTTTAAAAAAAGGTTAAAAATAGAAAAAAAAACCAGCGGTGGTGAAACCGCTAGCTCAGATGATTTTCTTGTGTTTATTGTTTTTAGCTTCCAGCTCAGCTGAGGATTTGATCGTGCCATCGAGGACATCCGGATGTACAAGCTATACATTG